CAGCTGTTGGGATGGATAAGCAACTTGGTAAATGGAAAACCTTCAGAAAAGTACCTGGCCCACACTAGGTGTTATTCCCAAAGTAATATTGTTTCTATTATTTCTGGGTACCTTCTCTCCTTCCTTCTCATCCTCACCCCTGACTAGAATGTAAGCCCTTCTGAGGGCTAATACTTCAGGGGGCAGTATTTGTTTTATTCACTGCTGTATTCTCATTGCCCAAATGGCCTGGTACATAATAGATGCTCAATAATTGTTTGTAAAATGAATGAATAAATGAGGTTCTACTGGACCTGTCCGAGCCTCGGTTTTCTCATCTATAAATTGGGATGATAATAGCATGTACTTCACAGATGTTGAGGATTCCATGAAATAAGTGCTACTGTTATTATTTTTAGCAATAATTCACAGTGAGTCTACAACATAATGCCTAGTACTTAGAGGGTATGCAATATAATTGATCTAGATCTAGAGGCAGGGAGAATTGTGGGAGACACATCTTATTACCTCCAACACTCTTGCTTTCTTCCTTTGCTAACAGAGCATTCGCTAGTTGATTGACTATCTGCCTTGCTCTGTACTTGCTACCTAGCCTCCCTTGCTTCTCACTGGCCAGAAGTGTGGCTGAATGACACATTTCTGGCCAATGAGACCCAAGCAGAAGTTGGCTGGGGGGTTCAGGGAAGGGTGAGCATGCTATTTGAGCCTCAGTTGCTTTATCTATAAAATGGGGATAAAAACAGCAACTGGCTGGGGTGAGGATCACACAACTGATATAGAGGGATATCTAGGTGACCATGATGCTGGCTTTGATGCCGTCTAGCTGCTGGTTTCCAACAGCACCAGGCACCAAAATCCAGATTGTTCGGTGAGGAAAAAGCAACCTTTTGGTTTAAGCCACTGCAGCTCAGGTATTTTGATACTTGCAGCCCAATGCATTCCCAAATGATAATATTGAATTTTTCTGGATCTCCAAAAATGCTCAGGATAGGGTAGATGGTTTTGTTTTTTTTTTTTTTTGCGGTACGCAGGCCTCTCACTGTTGTGTCCTCTTCTGTTGCGGAGCACAGGCTCCGGACGCGCAGGCTCAGCGGCCATGGCTTACGGGCCCAGCCGCTCCGCGGCACGTGGGATCTTCCCGGACGAGGCACGAACCTGTGTCCCCTGCATCGGCAGGCGGACTCTCAACCACTGCGCCACCAGGGAAGCCCCAGGGTAGATGTTTATTAATAATTTTTTACGTTAACGAAGTATGGATTGAGGCTCAGGTGCGGGAGCATAAAAAAAAAAGAAAAAGGGAAAGTGGATGCATTTAACTGGGCCCCTGTACAGTCCAGGGAGAGGTGACAAGAGACAGTCTATAAGGGAGGGAGAGTGTTACAAGGTGAATTGTGTCCCCTCAAAAAAGATATGTTGAGGTCCTAACCACCAGTACCTCAGAATGTGACTTTATTTGGAAAGAGGGTTGTTACTGATGTATTTAGTTAAGATGACATCATACTGTAGGGTGGGACCTTAACCCAATATGACTGGATTATAAATTTAGGGAATTCCTGGCAGTCCAGTGGTTAGGACTCCGTGCTCTCACCACCAAGGGCCCGGGTTCTATCCCTGGCTGGGGAACTAAAATCCCACAAGACGCGCAGTGCGGCCAATAAATAAATAAATTATTCTAAGAAAAGAGATACAGATACACGAAAGGAGAACGCCACGTAGTGATGGAGACGGTCTGTAGTGATGCGTCTACAAGCCAGGGAACACCAAGGATGGCTAGCAACCACCAGAAGCTGGCAGAGGCAGGGAAGGATCCTCCCCTAGAAACCTCAGAGGGAGTGGAGCTCTGCCGACACCTTGATTTCAGACTTCTGGTCTCCAGAACTGTGAGACAATACATTTCCATTACTTTAAACCCCCAGTTTGTGGTAGTGTGTGATGGCAGCCCTAGGAAATGAATGCAAGAGTCGAAAACAGCAGGATACAATGCAGGAGGCCCACTCAGGCTTTCAGCTCCGTGACTTGGAGCAAATTGCCCACTCCTGGGTATGTTTAGCACTCTCTGCAGGCTCAGGGCACAAAGATGGATAACAAGGGTCCTCCGCCCATGGGCATGGCATCACTCCACATGCTGCAAAGTCCTTCCAGCCTTCCAGAATCTCCCCAGGCAGAATTAACACATCCCAGGGTGCCCTCAGTGCAGGTTTCGGTGGTTGCTGTCATTCCTGTGGATTTAAGATTATGGATGCCTTTGTCTCCCCAGCAAGCCAGGAACCTCCCTGAGGGCAAGAAATGGCCCTTTCATCAATGCAGCCCAGCATGACAGAACCATCTCCTGGACAAAACCAAGGGGTGTAGAACTTCCCTAGCGGTCCAGTGGCTAAGACTCCATGCTCCCCAATACAGGGGGCAGGCGCTCCCAATGCAGTGGTTCAATCCCTGGTGGGGGAACTAAGATCCTGCATGCTGTACGGCGCGGACAAAAAAGAAAGAAAGAAAAAAAAAAAACCAAGGGGTGTAAACCCACTTAGGTGCCTGGGCGCTCAGAAATGCCCCTCTGGTTGTAAGCAAGAGAATTCACACATGGGTCTCAATGAAGACCCCAATGCTGGTGTTGAAAATGCCTGGGTCCAAATCCCAGTCCTGCCTGGGACTGGCTGAGTCACCTGTAGGTAAATGGCTTTGTTGCTCTGTGCCTTAGTTTCTCTAACTGTAAAAGGAGGAACAATGGCAGTCCTACTTGGTAGGGCCATTTCAAGGATTAAGTCTTTTTTGACAATTTTTATTGGAGTATAGTTGCTTTACAGTGTTGTGTTAATTTCCGCTGTACAGCAAAGTGAATGAGTTATACATATATCTACTCTTTTTTAGATTCTTTTCCCATATAGGTCATTATAGAGTATTAAGTAGAGTTCTCTATGCTATATAGTAGGCCCTTATTAGTTACCTATTTTATATGCAGTAGTGTGTATATGAAGCATTAAGTCTTTAATCCATTTTGAGTTCATTTTTACCAGTGATGTAAGAGAAGGATCTAGTTTCATTCTTTTGCATGTGAATATCCTATTTTCCCAGCACAATTTATTGAAGAGACTGTCTTTTCTGCACTGACTCTTCTTGGCTCCCTTATCAAATAGTAGTTGACCACATATGCATGGGTTTATTTCTGGGCTCTCAATTCTATTCCATTGGTCTACGTGTCTTTTTTTAATGCCAGGACCATACTGTTTTGATTCCTGTTGCTTTGTAATATAGTTTGAAATCAGGACATGTGATACCTCTGGCTTTGTTCTTTCTCAGGATTTCTCTGGCTCATTTCAAGGATTAAATGAGATCATGCCTATCAGATACTCAGAAGTCAGATGCACAGTAAGTGCTTAATGAGTATTGGTCCCATGCATGGGTGGACAGCATTAGCTAAGCGTGTGCATGGAGGAAGATGTGAGGCCAGCACGCTGCCCCCAGGGCCAGAAGTTCAGCACTGGTGGACTAAGAACTCTCCCCTTATATCGTTCCCTTCCTTATGTAGGTACAGGAAGGGAAAAGGGCTGATTGGGGGGATATGAGAGACCCAGATAGCCTGACTAGACACCTAACTTAACTCCATCATTACTGAGCACCCACTGTGTTCCAGGATCTGATTTAGAATACAAAAGCCTCTCTGGCTGTAGCAAATCAGCTGGATGGAGACTGGTGGGGAGGAGAGGCTTTGATGAAAGTGAGAGACAAGGATAGCTTGGCATGAGCTGGTGGCAGTACAGGTGGAGAAAGGTCTATGGATTCAAGAAAAATTTTGGAGTTGGAGTTGACAGAGTTTGCTAATGGACTGGATGTAAGAGGTGAGAGTAAGGGAGAAGTCTAGAGCAATCAAGTAGATGGTTTACCAGTCAGTGTTCATGTGCCTTCCCTCATGTCCCTCTGGCACGCAGCATCACAACGTAACAAATTATCCTCAAACCTAGTGGCCTAAAACAACGTGCACTTATTATTTCACAGTTTCTGTGACTCAGGAATCCAGGTGTGGCTTAGCTGGGTCCCTCTGGCTCACAGAGGTCTCACAGAGGTCCCACAGGGGTCCCACAGCTCTCACAGAGCTGCAACCAAGATGGCGGCCGGGGCTATGGTCTTGTCTGAAGGATTGAATGGGGAGGACCCACTTCCAAGCTCACTCGCTGTTGGCAGGATTCAGTCCCTCACTGGCTATTGGTCAGAGGCGGCCTCCTTTAGCTCTTTGCCATGTGGGCCTCTCCATAGGGCAGGTCACAACATGGAGATGGCTTTGCTCAGAGCGAGCAAGAGAGGGAGAGTGAGAAGATACCTAAAATGGAAGTCACTGACATTTTGTAACCTAATCTTGGAAGGGATATCCCACAAGCTTTGCCACATTCTTTATGTTTTTCCTTCTTTAAGATTATTTTTTTTTTTTGATGTGGCCCATTTTTAAAGTCTTTATTGAATTTGTTACAATATTGCTTCTGTTTTAAGTTTTGGTTTTTTGGCTCTGAGGCATGTGGGATCTTAGCTCCCCGACCAGGGATGGAACCCGTGCCCCTGCATTGGAAGGCAAAGTCTTAACCACTGGATCACCAGGGAATTCCCACCTTAGCCACAGCCTGTTGGTTAGAAACAAGTCATAGAGTCCCACGCATACCCAAGGAGAAGGAACCACACAAGGGTGGAGATTGACGGGAGCCATTCAGAGCCCGCACTATGCACATCAGGCCAATGGCGCCATATCGCCGGCACCTGCAACCCTTTGCCTGACAGCTCTCTCTGGCTGCAGAGGCAGCTCAGACCTGCCTGGGGGTAACCAGACATTCTGGAAGATCCATTCAATGGACATAACCCAGCTCCCTCATCCTTCACATGAGATGACTCTGAGGTGTGTGCCCCACAGGTCTCGGGGTGCGGGGGGGAATTAAGCCCTAAGTGTCCCAGTATAATCTGCAAATGGATACACTCTTTGCTGGGTGCCCTCCCTCCTCTGTCTCCCCTCCCCTCTCCCCTGCCGGTGCTTCCTGCGGTTGCCTTCCAGGTAAATCACTTGCATTGGAATCGAGGTGTCTCAGAGCTCATTCTGGAGAACACAACTGCGTTCATTTCCTAGGGCTCCTGTAATAAATTACCACACACGTGGTGGCTTAAGACAACAGAAGTATATTGTCTCACAGTTCTGGAGGCCGGAAGTCCAACATCAAGGTGTGGGCAGGGCCGTGCTCCCTCTGAAGGCTGCAGGGGAGAATCCTTCCTTGCCTCTCTCCTGGCTTCTGGTGGCTGTGAGCCATCCTTGGCTTTCGTCGGCTTGTAGCTGCATCGCTCCCATCTCTGCCTCCATCTTCTTCTCCGTGTGTCCTCTCCTCCTCTTAGAAGGACACCTATCGTTGGATTTAGAGCCCAGCCTAGATCCAATATCTATCATCTCAAGATCCTTGGTTGATGACATCTGCAAAGAACAAGGTCACATTCTGAGGTTCCAGGTGAACGTGAAATGGGGGCGGGGCATTATTCCACCCATTAGACCAATGGAGAACAGTGGTGCTGCCATTAACTGAGCTGGGGAAGACAGGAGAGGTGCAGGTCTGGGGTGAGTGGAGGGGTCAAGAGTTCTGTTTCAGACGTGATACTTGGGCATACCCACCGGGTTTCCAAGGGGAGACACCCAGGGGGGCAGCTGAAGGCGGTGGAGAGGCCCAAGCTGGAGCTGTCATTGGAAGATAACATTGTCAGATATAAGTGGCATTTAAGTCCTCAAACCTGTTCAAGATCACCAGGGAGCTGATTGTAGACACAGGAAAGAAGAGGGCAAGCTCATGGCTCTCTGTGCAATATTAAGGACAGGGGATGAGGAGGAATCAGCAGAAGAGACTGGTCAGGGGCAGTCGGGGAGGTGGAAGGGGAGCTCGAGAAGCATACCGTCCTGGAGGCTGAGCAAAGGTCCTTGAAGTTGGCAGGATGGAGCCCTTTCCCTGGCTGGGCAGGGACAAAAGCCCAACTGGAGTGGGATGGAGAGGGGATCAGAGAAGAGGATCTAGAGCCGGGGAGGAGAGACAGCTCGTGGAATGCTCTGCTGGGGGCCGAGAATGTATTCGTTTCCTGTGGCTGCTGTAACAGATAGCCAGATCTGGGCGGCTTAAATACAACAGAAAACAAAACCAAAGCAAAACAAAACCAGAAACCCCGCAGAAATGTATTCCCTCACAGTTCTGGAGGCCAGAAACCCAAAATCAGTGTCATCAGGCCCAAATCAAGGCAACCCTCTGGAGTCCCTAGGGGAAAATCTATTCTTTGCCCCGACCAGCTTCTGATGGCTCCGGGTGTCCCTCGGTGTGTGACTGGATCACTCCAACCTCTGCCTCCAACTTCACATGGCCTCTTCCCCTATGGTTGTGTCTCCCTTTCTCTTCTCTTCTAAGGATTAGAGCTCATCCTAACCCAGGATGATCTCATTTTAAGATTCTTAATTTAATGATAACTGCAATGACCCTCTTTCCAAATAAGTTCACATCTGCAGGTTCTGCAGTGGGAATGTGGACATATCTTTTGGGGGGGGTCACCATTCAGCCCACTACAGGAAGGAAAGGAACAGGGTTGGGGATGGGGAGGGCCTCCCACAGCTGCTGTTTCTAAATGAGCAAAACAAGGACCGTCACTGGCCTTGAGACTAAAGGTTGACTATGCACAGGACAGTCATGGCTACATCTCAGTACAGGAGAAAACCTCTCTGTCCAGAAACAGGGTGAAAGCTCCCAAGTCTCTGGCCACTGATACACGCCATTCCTCGGCACCTACCTAGCCCTCACCTCACTGGACCCCATGACTTTTCTCCTAGGTCTGAGCCTGCACCATGTTCTTTCAAGCCTCAAGACATTTGCCCAGGGGAGGACTTCCCTGGTGGCACAGTGGTTAAGAATCCGCCTGCCAATGCAGGAGACACGGGTTCAATCCCTGGTCCGGGAAGATCCCACATGCCTCAGAGCAACTAAGCCCGTGCACCACAACTACTGTGCTCTAGAGCCCGCAAGCCACAACTACTGAGCCTGCACGCTGCAACTACTGAAGCCCACGCGCCTAGAGCCCATGCTCCACAACAAGAGAAGCCACCACAATGAGAAGCCTGGGTGCCGCAACTAGAGAAAGCCTGCGCGCAGTAATGAAGACCCAACGCAGCCAAAAAAAAAAAAAAAAGATGTTTGCCCAAGAGACATTCCTGGTGGCCCAGTGGTTAAGACTCTGCGCTTCCACTGCAGCACTGCAGGGGGCACAGTTTTGATCCCTGGTCAGGGAACTAAGATCCCACATGCCGCGTGGCAGGGCCAAAAAAAAAAAAAAAAAAAAGATGTTTACCCAGGAAGTTCCCCCGACCTGGATGGCCTTTACGCCTACAACTGTTCATCTGTCCTCCAAGTTTCAGCTTAAGGGTCTCTTCCTCAGTGGGTGGGGGCCTTAGTTATGCCAAAAATCCCGTTATCGATTCCATCACAACACTCACTCTCTCCTGAACAGTTTCCATGATTGTAATTACATAGTTTTGCACAATTATTGCTTTTTTATTATTTATTTATTTATTTTTGGTTGCATTAGGTCTTCATTGCAGTGCACGGGCTTCTCCTTGCAGTGGCTTCTCATTGCGGTAGCTTCTCTTGTTGCAGAGCACAGGCTCTAGGCACGCAGGCTTCAGTAGTTGCAGCACTTGGGCTCAGTAGTTGCGGTGCACGGTCTAAGTAGTTGTGGCGCACGGGCTTAGTTGCTCCACGGCATGTGGGATCTTCCTGGACCAGGGCTCAGAACCCATGTCCCCTGCATTGGCAGGCAGATTCTTAACCACTGCATCACCAGGGAAGTCCCATAGTTTTGCACAATTATTTTTAAATGTCAATCTCTCCCCCCATTCTAGAATGTGGGCCTGGGGAGGCCAGGCCTGGGAGACCACCATGTCCCTTACACCTAGCTCAGGGATGGCACACACACAGCAAGTGCTCAGTAAATGGGCCCAGGTTGCTGGAGGAATTCCTTTGTTCAGGTCAGGGGGATGCTCTGGGTATCACCCAACCCAAGAGGTGACTTGGTATCTCAGTGGATGTTCTGGAATCTTCTCTGGCGTGAGGGGGACACCAGGCGCACATACACACACACACAAAATTATCACCCAGACCCCAATTTCTCGACGGACTATTTTCCTCCCCCGGGCAGAAAATGAACCATTATTAAAACAACACGGCGACCGGCTGGGAAAACCCATTTGCAGCGATTTATATCGCATCACCGCGGCTGGCTGCCTAGAGGAAATGGGAGGAGAAGCGCCGGGTTTAAGCACTGGGTGAAGAATCGCGTTGCATCAGAGGGAGAACAGATGGGTGCTTTTCGTCCCCTCTCTCCCCCTGCTCAGGCTCCGAGTCAGGAATCCATGTCAGCCCTGGGTATGTTCTTGGTGCGATGCGGGCGACTCTGGGAGTAGGCGGGCCAGGCTGCTGGGCCCCAGGGGCCAAGGGGGGGCTTGGGACCCAGCCAGGATGCCCTGTCCTTCTGCCCACTTCCTGTGGTGCCAGATGGTTCGGTGGCCCCTTGATCTGAGCCCCTTCCCCCAATCCCCCAAGGGATTTTCCTCTCCTTTTATTTCCTCCCTCATCCATTGCCTCTTTCCTCGAAAGCAGTACCATGTCCTGTCCCTTCACCCCCATGGCGGAACGCACAGCAGTTGGTCAGATATACGCAGACATGGGCTAACCCACCATTACCCCGCGCATCATGTTCTGACGTTATCATTTATGCGTCTGCCCTCCCCGCCAAGCTGTGAGCACACTCAAAGGAGGGCGCTCTTTCACTTCTTTCACTCATTTATGGATCCACGGTACTTCCACCCCCAAAGAAAGCCTGACGCACAGCCAGCGTTGGGGTGGGGGGGGGTGATGCGAGCATGACTGAGTCATTTGGCCCTTTAAAAGCCATCAGTGGCTTCTCTCCTTCAAAGTTGAAACCTGTTAGCGTGGCTCTAAGGGCCCCTCCCAATCTAGACCCAAAACACCTGTTCAGTTTTATCCTAACACCCCGCAGCCGCCTGGGACCCAGGCACTTTCTAGTCAATTCCACTGGATGATCCGTGGTCCCTATCTCACCCATGATGCTTTGCGTGGCTACCTCTGAACATTTCCGCACCTGGATACCTTGCCCTGTCTGTGTCCACCTTTTGAAACTGGGAGTTTGACACCCAGAGCCCAATCCAGCCCACGGATGTGATTTGCTTGGCCCATGCAAGGTTCTTAAAAATTGTAATGAGTCGCCACCTTTTAAATATCAGGCGATTGTTGCATAAAAATCTGTGTTCCTGGCTTTCCATCAAAAGACGCAGCCTCTGTGAAGCCGAGGGCACACGCCCAGTGCAAGGGGCAGCGCTCAGTAAGGGCAGCCCCACACCGAGGAGACAGCACAGCTTTGCCAGCTCTCATGCGGTGAGTAGCTAAGGGGACTCTGGACCCAGACGGAACCACTCAACCTTCCTGTTCTGGAATCTTCTGCCTGCCCACCTGAAGCAGTTCTCCTGGCTTCTCCACCTAGCTTGGTTTCCTGGGAGGCTGGGCTGTGTGGACCCCAACAGCCTTCTGGGTCCTCTGGCTCAGGTTGGATTCAGCCCATGAGGACCCCTGTGGTGGTGGTGGGGGGGGGAAGTGAGAGACATATCTGTCCCTCAGTTTGGTCCCTCACCCTGTGGCCTCTGTGGACCACCTGTGTCCCTGTCGCTCGAGGTCACGGGTTTTCCCCATCCACGCAGCCTGTGGTGTTTCCGGCTTATGGCAACTGCTCCCTCCCCTTGCCTCTCGGACCTAAGTGTGCTAACCCTCCCCCCTCTACTAGCCCAAGGTGTGGCATTATTCCTTGTGGTTCCCTACATCTGTCCATGCTTTATAAATTCGTCCCTTCGTTGAACTCTGATCAAATTACCCAATTTGAATGCGCCCTTTGTTTCCTGCCTAGGGCCCTGACTGTGATACAGCCTCTATGCCTCAGTTAACCCACCTGGTAAATGGGGATAATACCTGCCTCTAGAGTTGATGCAAGGGTAAATGAGTTAGTACTGTGTAAGGAGAGGGCTTAGCAAGTGCTGATAAATGTTAGCAATTATTATTGTTCTTTGCCACAGTCCTCACCACTCCTTATTGCCCCCCATCACTGAACTGAAGGTCACCTGTGCTACTGCTGATGCAGTTGTCTTCTTGACCTGGCCGCTCAGCATGTTTATATTACCTGCTGTCCTCTATAGGCGTGTGTTGTCACCAGCTCTCTGTTGTCACCTCTGCTGCAGAGTTCCCAGGCAGTCCTCCACCCCATGGGATGTCCATCCCTCCATGCGCTCCTCCATTAACAGTGATCCCAGGAATTCCCTGGTGGTCCAGTGGTTAAGACTCAGCGCTTTCACTGCCATGGCCTGGGTTCAATCCCTGGTCGGGG